CATGTGGATGAGCCTATAAATAATCATACCACAACGTGCGCACGAGAACCCGACGATGACCCCGTGGGTCTAGGGTTCACTTCTGATTACTAGACCCGAGGTCACGGGGAGGTATCTGAAGTAAAACTACGTATCGACTAGTGCGGTGTTCCAGCCTAGTCACGTCTTAATCTCTAATGCAAGGTTAACCTAGAAGGAAAAAGTCTAATATTTTCTAAATATCCCCAAGTAATTACTAAAGTGAGATTATTTTCTCCAGGATTTTAAATATGTGAAAAACATTGGAATTATATTAAATAACTTAAAATGCTCTAAAATATATTTGCATGTTATATATGTTTACTGGTTATTTGCCACTCAGCTTATGCTGAGCGTGTAGTGTTTAACTGCACGCAAGTACTAGTAGGGGAACGACTGCTGAGGAGGAAAGCTTGGACGTGGAGGCCTTGCTAAAAAAGGAAATTCTGTTTAAAATAAATAATTGAATAAATTATTGAACATATTTTGGTTTCGGCTTGAACCCCAAGTTGTACTTACTTATGAATGTTATTACTCTTTTTACTTACTCGAAAAAAATCTTTAAACTCTTTAGTATCGTAATGAGAATTTATTTTAATAAAAAAATGTTTTACTAAGCAACTGGGTTTTACTAGCACTCTGGTCTGGATGACTCGGGTCATCCAGGGTAGGGTGTTACAATCCATATAGAAAATGACCTGCACCCCATTTAACCACATTGTTTTTATGGAAGTTCATACCTGATGAATCTAGTACGGTGAGACAACAAAGAAAAAAAATTAAGGAACATGTTAGAGTGTCATCCCACATCGGAAGTTCAAGAGCAAAATAATCGATATATAAGTTCTTGAGTTGAACTAACTAATCGATTGGATTCAATCTTTTAATGCGGTTCAATCCAAGTGTCTTATTGCTCAATTCAGTTATCCACACCCAATCCTAAATTCTATCATGGTGTCAGAGCCAATTTTAGTCCACCTCGTTTGTTGAGGTGTCCATCTAGACGTTCATTCCTAGCGGCATGTTAGTCTTTAGCCAGTTGTCCGTATGGAGTATGTACCCAACGGCCTGTGGCCCGTTTAACACGATTGCTCGTCTGGAAGTCCATACCAGCGGCTCGTGGTCCTTTAAGGTGTTGGCCCTAAAAAAAATCAAGGGAATGGGTGTTTATTTGCAAGTGGTCAATCTGTTAGATTCAAAATGACCCGGTTGTCCACTTGAGGGGGAGTGTTAGAGTGTCATCCCACATCAGAAGTTTAAAAGCAAAATAATCGATACAAATTACTCAAAATATGTTGAGTATTCAATGAATTCCGAATCTCGTCCCCCATAACAGGTGGCCGGGGTCACTTTCAAATCTCATCTCCCTCCGGTCCTGACCTTCATATCTTAATTTTTTTGGTCAACAAGTGATATTCTTTAACTACAAACTATGAAAAAAGTTTATTTAATTATAATATAAACTTAATATAATTAGGTTCATCTTATTAGATTCTTAGGATATAGTTTTGATATATCAATTTCTATATCACTTATTTATTTAGATTATGTTTAATTTATGGTCTAAGAATATTATAATTTGATAAAAAGAAGATTAAAACAAGAAACGTTTTTAGGACAGGAAGTAGTACAAAAGAATATCTCTAGGTCCACATGAATGCTCCGGGTCCAGCTCCGCTATTCCCTTCACTCCAATTTGTGGTTCTGTATTTAGGTGTTGGTGTTGCATCTTGGTCCTTTCATTTCATGGTGAAAGAAATTCAATTGCAAGTGTCCAATTAGTTAGTTTAAAATTACCTAGTTTTTTATTTGACCGGAAGTGTTAAGGTATATTACATCAAAAGATTTGAAGACAAAGAAATGGATATATAAATTCTTGAATTGAATTAAATAATTGGCGGGATTCAATCTTTAATGTAGTTCAGCCCATTATCTTATGACTTAGTCGATCGAGTAATCTATATCTCATTCTAAATTGTATCACTTTGATCATAATTTAAATAGTTTTAAGTAAATAAATGTTTTATCAAGCTACATCTAAAAATTCACTCAACTATATTAAACTTATACTATAGTTGAATATGTTTTTGTATAATTTATGGTGAAGAAGGTTGAAAAAGTCAAACTAAAACTATAATTTTGAGACTTATAATTTAAAATATATTTTACCAAATACAACTATAATTTTGAGACATAGTTTTGAGACTTATTTTTTAAAATATATTTTAGCATATTTTTTAAAAATATTTTAGTTGGATTAGGGGTCAACCGAAAATGCACTACCACAATGTAAAAATGCATCGTGATGACATAAAAATGCACAATTCTCACGATAAGCTCTATTCTCGCAATAAGAAGTTAAGGACCATTCTCACTTGAACCAACCCATTATATATATATATATATATATATATATATATATATATATATATATATATATATATATATATATATATATATATATATATATATATATATATATATATATATATATAA